ATTTAGAAATAATTTTCTCAAAAGAAGGTTTTTTAATTTGAAGAGTGCCAAAGACAGCACAATGTTCAGAAATGGCAGGGTCAGAAACGATTACATTAGAGAGTATGGTGTCACTAACCTTAGTTATTACAAGATCAAGAATTTGTTTATTTTGATATGTAGGTTGGTCCACATGTTGAGCTAAGTTAAATATCTCAAGAAGATTCAAAAATTTTGTAGCATCAACATTAGAAGAGTCATTTATATGAAAATTGAAATCACCAACCAATAACACAGAAGAAGAAGTAGCACAAAAATTCTCCAAAAAAGTAGAAAACTCTTCAAAAAACAAACTAGTTGAAATATTGTTCCTCCCTGAAGATGGAGGTCTATTAATTATGAAAATAGAAATACTAGGAAAAGAGTTAACTGACATGCCCATGATTTCAAAGGACTTGAATTTATCAAGTGAAATTTGCCCAATTTTTAGAGTTTTCTTATAAAGAAAACCAACTCMTCCACCTCTACCAGCTCTAGCAACATGTTTAAAGACATACCCATTTGGAGTTAACTTATTAATGACTGATTGATTGTTAACGTTTTCACTTKTTAACCATGTTTCAGTTAAACAAATAATATCAACATCATTATCAATAGTAAAATCATGTATATAAGATGGTTTGTTATACACTAACCTTGCGTTAAAAAGACAAATCTTAGCAGGCTTATCCAAAGAGGGTGAGAAAGGCAAAAGCAAAGGTGTAGAAATGTTATTATTCGACGAAACTGTAGGCAATACCGAACGGTTTGAAATAATCGAAGATATAGGCCAAGATTTCTGTTTATATCGAACACCAGCACGAGTTCGCCGAGTATTCAGAATGCCTAGGTCTTTTAAAGTATTAAAAACATTTGGTGGAATTGGAGATTTAGATTTAAGGCGTAGAAGTTGAATTCTTGAATAATTAAGATGAGTTGTTGTTGCTTGTATTGTTGAAATCGAATTTGAATATGGCGGCAAAACTAAAGATCGAACGAAGAATCCAGCAGAAGGACCAGAAAAAGCAGATACATCACGATAAAGAACACTTGTGGCGACTGGAGATAAAAAGGGAAAACCATTTGAAGCCAGAAGATGATGAGGATGGTAGTTGAAAGAACGAATGCCAGAAAGAAACCAGTAATCACTTGAGTGCATCGCCAAGGTCTGAAGCGGTTCGAGGAGAAATCAAATAAATATCGAAGATCTTGCGAAAAACATAGCAGATTAACTTGAAAAAACATAAATACGATCTAATAGAGTTACTAAGTCGAGAAAAGAGTTCGAAAGAACGTAAAATAACGATATAAAATGTAAAATACACGGAGCTAAGAATCATGCAGCCGTCTCAGGCGCTAATATGCTAATATTATTTAGACTTTTTTATTCATTTAAAATCCAGATTTATAGATGATGTTTAGCAACAAATGGTCACATTTAAAGAAAAAACATTAATTGATGTCTAGCATTGAGATCACTTTCTCTTATTGAAAATTAATCCAACACCGAGCTCAAGACCTTTATAAATTCTCAATCAAATAGAATATTTTTTCGCAACACTTTACATTCGCAATCCAAAATGCAGACATACATTCTCTGCTACAAAGAACCTTGAATATGCTTTCCTTATGTGAAAGTATTCACGACTTTTCCATACTCAGGTTCAGTGACCACGAACAAACCATTGGACCGAGACGTCAAGGTACAGTGCACAAAAGTAAAAATCTGTCATCAGTGTTCCTTGACGCCTCGGCTCAACGCTTTGTTCTTGATCACTGAACCTGCGTATGGAAAGTCGGGACTACTCCAGTCATGCATATACATTATCAGTTTATTCAGGTGGTATAAAGGTAATCTAAACCTTTTGCTGGTTATAAAATCACTGGCATGACACCTTCCTCACCGGTAGAGCGTAACAGGTAGGATGTTTCCGACACTATTTGTGCGACTTCTGATAATTATTATAACCAGAATCACCTGAAAAGATTTCAAGTTCAACAGCTCCTTTAGCGAACGACATTAAATCGTTGATAAAGAGGTAAGTTTTTTCCTTGAAATCTTACTTAGTTCCAGTGRTGATTYCGAGATTTMWAAAAAATGTCGTCCAGATATTCAACTTTTTTTGCTTTTAATACATGAATGCTAAATAATTCTGCTTTAATTCAAATTTGAAAGTTTCGAACTACTCCTAGTTCCAGCTGACTAGAGTTTTTTAGAATTCTCCAATCAATCTTACTTGCTCATCATTGTTTTTGAGACAGTTGATCCGTACTTTGGTGTGTCAAGGTACATACACTAGGGCTTTACCTAAGAAAACACGCTGACCATAATAATACATAATATTATATAATTATGAAATTAGAATAAATTGAAGAAAAAGCCAAACAACTTTTGTAACTAAGTTTCCACTCTTTATTTTATATGTATATGTAAAAACACTCAGTTTGCTGAAGAAGGCCTAAGTGCCGAAACGTCCATAATACGACAGAGTTTTATATCTTTAACTTTAAGTTGGTGTTTTGTTTAATTGCATTCTACGTCGTATTATATGTATTTTATATATCTATGATTACATTCTCATTTCAGTACGTCCACTGTTTCACTGCTATAGTATGTTTGGGATAAAGACCGCATTGGTTGTTCTTGTCTTGGTGTGTGTGGTAGTGTTGGACCAGGTCTACACCTATCCTATCAAAAATTCAGAAAAAGCTCCAGACACGGCCAAAGATTCAGAAAATCTGAAAAAAGGATCGGAGCTGGACGTAAGTCGTCCCACACGCACTTTTAAAACACTTTGGAGATTTTACAGCAGTCTTTTTCTCTGACTCTTAATTTCTTCAAACATTTTTTTTTTCTTTTGTCTTTTGTTTTTGTTTTTTGTATTGTATTGTTTACTGTACGCTCCTGGCTTTCTTCTTTTTCTTTGTTCATCTACCTCCTTTTCAAACTTCAACTCCTTATAGCTTCTTCTGATAATAAAATATTTTTCTTGTCTATATCTTTTTCGANCAATTTTTACAAAGATGGCGGCGAGAGATGAAAATCAATTACCTTTATTTGATTTTGAATTTAATTTTGACGATTTTTCCCATGAAATTGATGACGAAATACTCAGAAGTATTGAGAGTGAAGTTTCAAAAGAAACCGAAACACCCGAYGAAAGTGTTGCGACGAAAAAGCCGAGGTTTGCGGAAGTAGCGGAGGAGGATATCAACAAACTACTAGACRATGCCCAAGCTAGCAAGACAAAAGCAAACACCAAATGGGCCGTTTCTGTTTTTAATGGTTAGTCATTTAAGACAAATATTTGTACTGCATGATGTATTTTAGTCTCAATTGTCAAATAAAACWAGTGTAAAACCAAAAACAAGTGAAAACACGTACATGTACAAAGTGTTGACAGCTCATGTTAAATGTCAAAATTTTGTAAACAAATGATTATTGTAGTTATAATTTCGCGGGATATTTTTCTAATCCAATTTTACACATTTTATAAACAGGCTGGAACAAAGAAAAAGGTTTTAAGACCTCTCTTGAAGCGATGTCTTACGAAGAACTCGCGCGATAAAAAGCTTGGCCAATTTTACGTTGAAGCGAGAAATAAAAATGGCGAATCCTATAGTCGCGCATCACTTCTTTCCTTGAGAAATGGCATCGAGAGATACCTCACCAGCCCTCCACATAGCCGGCCAATAAAACTAAATAAAGATCCTCGCTTCGTGCTTTCAAATAAAGTTCTAGATGCCAGCATTAAACAACTTAAAAAAGATGGGAAAGAAAACACAACACACAAGCCCCCTATCGAGCAGCAAGACATGGAAAAGCTTAAAAACAGCAATGTGYTCCTACCTTCCAATCCTCAGTCACTTCTAAACAACGTCTGGTTTCATGTCTCCCTTTATTGGTGCAGACGAGGAAGAGAAGGGCAGCGAAGCTTGACAACCAKCAGCTTCACGTTTGAAAAAGACGGCGACGAGAAAGAGTACGTTACGATGACACATGATGAGAGTACAAAAAATCACCCCGGAGGTCTCAATGATGTACAAAGTTTTGAGAAGTATGGAAGGATGTACAAGACAGAARCACCAACAGACGGATATTCTTCATTGCAGTTTTACTTGTCAAAAGTCAACCCAGCTTGCACAGCTCTATTTCAGTATCCAAAGCGAAATTGGCGTCCCACTGAYAGCGWATGGTATGAAAACCGTCCCCTCGGTGCCAACAAGCTTTCAAAGATGATGTCTACCATAAGTGAGGGAGCACGTTTGTCCAAAATTTATACCAACCATTCAGTCCGAGCAACTGCAATAACCTTATGGTCAAGAGCCGGTCTACCAGATCGTGAGATAATGGCGATTTCTGGTCATCGCTCTGAATCTTCTTTGAAAAGCTACCACAGTCGCCCTTCCTCCCTTCAGCTAAGAGAATGCAGTGATGTTTTGTCATCAGCTATTGGCGAAAGAATCAACACTACTCTTCAGTCGAGAAATCCGTGTACAAGCACAGTTAGGTGGAAAAATTCTCGCCAAGAATCCATCGAAGAAGAGCGTAGTGGCATGTTTGCTGGCTGCACATTTCACGGCAATATGCAGATTAATCATTATTACAGCCGTTAACTTTTGACTCTTGACTATTTTTCTCATTTTGCTGATAAATTCTCGATATTTTTTACGAGAAAAAGTTCGAAAACAATCCATTTTCAGATCATTGCAAGCAATTAATTGATCATAATTTGTACAGTTGATCGAAGTTTGTAAATTTCAAACAAGCGATTTGATTGGTTGACTCATGATTGTAATGAGAATTAAAATGTTCATCAACAAATCTAGTGTTGTGAGTCGTCTATATNACCATTCAGTCCGAGCAACTGCAATAACCTTATGGTCAAGAGCCGGTCTACCAGATCGTCAGATAATGGCGATTTCTGGTCATCGCTCTGAATCTTCTTTGAAAAGCTACCACAGTCGCCCTTCCTCCCTTCAGCTAAGAGAATGCAGTGATGTTTTGTCATCAGCTATTGGCGAAAGAATCAACACTACTCTTCAGTCGAGAAATCCGTGTACAAGCACAGTTAGGTGGAAAAATTCTCGCCAAGAATCCATCGAAGAAGAGCGTAGTGGCATGTTTGCTGGCTGCACATTTCACGGCAATATGCAGATTAATCATTATTACAGCCGTTAACTTTTGACTCTTGACTATTTTTCTCATTTTGCTGATAAATTCTCGATATTTTTTACGAGAAAAAGTTCGAAAACAATCCATTTTCAGATCATTGCAAGCAATTAATTGATCATAATTTGTACAGTTGATCGAAGTTTGTAAATTTCAAACAAGCGATTTGATTGGTTGACTCATGATTGTAATGAGAATTAAAATGTTCATCAACAAATCTAGTGTTGTGAGTCGTCTATATTTTCGCTTTTCTTTTCTATTTCTTAGGATTGGCTATATAATAAAAGCAGTAGAAAACAACTTTCCGTGATCCCTTGGTGAAATAGATCACGCGGGATGTTGGGAGAACACGAAAAAAGGCGTAAAAAATCTCGAGCCGCAGGCGATTAAGATAGAAGGCCTGTAGTTCATGATTGATAAATTCGCCGGTATTTTTCAAAAAGCCCATTCCGAAAACGGTCGACATCTTTTAGTGTGGCTATGCCGCGAATTGTGTGTGGATTTGTAATAGATTTGAGCGTATTTTTTTGAAGAAGAAGCAATACCATAACTCCATCGACGAAGAAGCTGATGCAATTAATGCAATTTAGCACTTGAAGCATGGGACGAGACAAGACAGKCTAGGAACGCCTGGCTAGTCTGGCCGCGATTTGGCGATGAATGCGAAAAAAATAAAAAATAAAAAAAATAACGCCGAAATCTAAACTCGCGGTTCCACAGGAACCCCGAGTAAAAATGAACGTATAAACACGAATGCTTGACACTGGCTTCATGTATACACAAAGTTTATCCAGCCTTCCTTCAGTGAACGAAAAGTGACAATAATTAGCGTGCRATAGGCTAACAACAATCTATGAGTSCCTTGTATATTAAGAGGAATCTAGATTTTGTCATTTCCTGTTTATGTTGATTTTKTTGTGATGTTTTGAAWTTTTTTATTCTAGCTGTTGATGATATTGTGTCGACTCTTTCTWAATGTTGGTTCTGCTTGTGGCCTGTATTCTAAATTGTAGCTGTAAATAGAACACACGGACTGTGAACGGAACTGTCTAAAATTCGACTATCAGTGGCGGATCCAGGATTTTTCAAAAGGGGGTTCCACTTTGTTTTCGCATTTTCCTAAAACGAACATTTTTACTGTGCCTCTCGAACTGTAGCAAATGTAACGTGAATGTAGTTATAGCAGCGCATCTCTAAGTCTCAAAGTACGATTTACAGTTCTGTCTGCGTACATTGCAGCCATGTGGTAAAAGTGTAATATATAAAGCCGCTTGCCTATTGGAAAATATAAGCCACCTTCATCCTTCTCGGATGCAATTGCGCAAAATGCGTTTTCTATTTATTTCAATTACCTTTTTTTTATGCTCGAGGGGGGTTCCTAGGAATCCATGGAACCCCCTCCTGGATCCRCCACTGCTAATCCGCCGTCTTCTACCAGTCCAAAATACCAAAGAAACGTACTGTGGCCTTACAGACTACGAGTTCTAAAACGCTACCGYTAGGAATTCCTAATTATTTTTCTACTCTTTAATAGACGCCTCGGGCATTCACCCTTCTTATATATATGATATATACAATGAACTTATATTCACATGTAAACATTTAATCCGTCACGCATGTACTTTTATCTGTAATATCAGCAATCTGTAACTTTATTAGCCTGATTCCAAAAGTCGGTCCCAGTTTGCTCTCTGTCAGAGTTTTTGTCGCTCATGGGTCCGCGCTAGTTTCGCGACAAACCGAAAAACCGAGGAGCGAAAACCATGACATGGAATTAGTCTATAATTTTATACTTTAGCATCAGTTTTAAACTTAATGTAAACCTTGGGATATTTTAACGGTCATGTAATGACTTCACCTGACGAGTGTAATCCTCTGGACCATACGAAACAAAATTGTAGTGAGCACTACATCATGGAAAAACAGTAGTTTGTTCTGAAATATTTATTTTATACATAGATTTGCTGCAGTGCGTGTGTGTTTTTGTTCTCTTGGAAATCAACTTTCTAAAAGGTGTAGCGATTGGAAACACATGAAAAACCTTCATTAAATACTCATGCACAAACTTGATTTTAGCAAATTTGATGGACCGAAATTCTTTACGACAAATATCAACAAACATATAATATGTATATGTATAACCAAAGAGTGTCATGATTTTATGAAATCGGAGTGTATATTAATTCAATAAATATATATGATATATAATAGAATCATTTTTCTCGCCAACATGTGATTATGRTAATAACAACCAGATAAACAGAACAACAAATAAAAACSTTTTGGAACCAGTGAACAYWCTGTTATACCAGGGATGGAGACAAAGAGCGCTACGGTCGTCGRTTTTACAGGTATTTGATTGTCTTGCTTCGAATKTTCTGCCAGTGGGAACATTGTCTGCTGTACGATTCATGGATTGYACTGTCTAAAAGRCCAGATGACAGTATTCAAAGAGACGCTTGCATGGAAAACATTTTTATAAGAGATTTCCACGATAACCATAGAATAGATACATCAGCTTGATTTTGAATGTCACGTTTTTTAACAAAAATATCTAATAGACAGTCGATATTTATAAAATATCAGAAAGATTGTAAATATTTGTTAAAGTAATTTTTCTTAAGAGACTTTTAACCTAATTAATATTTCTTATTTCATTTCTTGGCTTTTTTTTGTCTAAAAGATGACAGCGCACAATAGTTTTCTTACATCATATTTATAATAAGTTAAGTCCCACCAYTATGATCCTACACTATATTTGACTATCATAAAATCTAGATCTTGACGTGTTCTTTAAACCTGACAGTGATATTATAGGTTCCATTCAGCGCGTGACAAACACACAAAAAWTAGTCTGTACCAACTCAATGGTCAATTTATCATAAACTTTAATTCAACAATTTTCTGTAATTTTCTAGATTCCGAGATGTATTTATTTAGATGATAGCTGATGTTTTGCAAGAAAATAGTTACATTCTACTAACATTAATGGATACCTAACGAAGTCTCCATTTCCTCTCATTGAACAATTACATAATCGAACACTGAACTAAGGACTTTTATAAATTTCGCATTAGAATTGAGGGATGTTTTTTAATCAAAACATTCTACTTACATTTTTTAATTACATTTATGAAATATCGTGGGCAATAATAACCTCAAAGTGGAGCGTTTCATCCCTCAAGACCTCAATGGACGCAGAATCTATATATGTGATTCCTTCCCTCCCCCCGTCCAAATTTTGAGGTTCCGTTCTTGAAACTGTTAAAGATCCATTCCTTATGTGAAAGTGTTTCAGGTCAAGCATCCCCTTTAGTTCGAAGGGGATATCACGGTAATATACCCTGTTGCTGGTTAGGAAATGCTTGCCATGACTTCACCGGTAGAATGTAACAGGTGGATATTTCCGGGACTATTTTTGCGATTTATGAAGATTTTATATCTCAAAATTCATATCAATCTGTCAACAGGAAAGGTGCTCACAAAAAAAAAAAGAAAGAAAAGAAACGAGCTGGTATCTACGTGAGGGTAAAGAGTAAAAGCGAGAAAATCGCTGATGTTGCCCAAGATGAACCAATATACTGATATCTGTTAGCGGCCAGAAATTTTGCAAATGATTGTTCAATCATTGGCTGATTAGTATCAAGCTCCTCCAAGTCGCAGAAAAACCTAAATCCCAACTATTTCCTTTGAACATTGAAGTCGCGATGCATATCAAACAATTGCCTGATATTCGCGCGGATTACCTGTGTTTTTTTTGTGGGATACATTGTTTTCAAGGATGGGAAGGGACTAGGACAAAATTATAATGGTCGACATGTTTTGAAAAGCAATTTCTCTGAAAATTCTGTAAGTTTTAGCAATTTTAAAGCGCTAAAAGGTGGAAAAAACTTTAAAAAAATTTCTAACGTACTTCCTTATAAGGTAAGATTACCATATATGGTCAGCAAAAGTTTTGCAAACGAATGAATTTTTCTCCGAAGCAAGTGCTTGATATGCAACGGTTCTGCTGTAATAGCAACATTCAGTTTAATAGTTTAAAAACTATTTATGACGCGATGATTGCACAAGAGTTTAATATAAGAAATTGGCGCCGTTGGCCGGAGAATGAATGATACTTTCAGGTATCTTTGGACTGACATTCTATTGAGTTCTTCCAGCATAACTTTGTGTTAATTAGCGTGTGAAAAGACAAAAGCGTGTTTTGTATATAATTTCACTTGCTTCAAAACGATCACCATTTTGTGACTCGCACTGGTGGTTACAGGTAGCTATACTCATTCCCATTGTATTAGTGTTTGCTCGAATACCACGATTCGAAAAATCTCTTGTCACTAGTATAGACCATATGAAAAAGGGCGTGGCTATCATAACTCCTTAGTTTATAAGATTTTTATTGCATCATTGCTACCCGTTGAAAGAACACATCACAATGAATAAGATCTGAAAGTTTCATTGCTCATACTTTTAAGGACCAGAAATTAAAGGTGCTTGAATTTGCAAAGGTTTGAGTGAAAATGAGTATGTTACATTTCAAATGCTCATAACTCTGTTGATATTTAACAATTGAAACTAAAACTCTGCCAATTTAGTAGTTGAGATATACTCCTTCATATGGTGAAAACAGATGTTGAAAACATGGAGCGTTTAATGTGCTCATTCCCAGTCTTCTGCTCGTTTTTCATATGGTCAATATCTGTGGATGTAGCCGTGATTTATAAAATATCAGACACATAATTGTTTAATTTTTCTGGAGTGTCTTTAAACTACATTAACACTTTGTTTTGGTAACACATTTCATCTCTCGCTGCGCTCGTTCCGTACGGCATAACCTCTAGACAAATTTGTTCCCGTACGGCCCTCCCACTCAGTCAATAAGTACATAATATTCCATTCAACGCATGACGCAGCAAAAAAAAAAGGTCAGTGACAACTGATGGTCAATTTGTCATTGATTTTTGTTCAACAACTCAGTATTAATCGTCAAATATTTTCTAGATTCCAAGGTATATCTATTTAGA